CAACTCTTCTACGCCACAACCTTAAAACTCAACGGGCTATTTACCGTAGCTTTATTCGAAGCCGGGTCGGTTTCGACCGGAGGCTCTCGACGACACCGTTGGCAGAGAACTGCGCCACTTCCATTTTTTTCAATTCTATTGGGAGCAAATGCGAAGCACTGCGGAATTTCGTGTCTACAAGTTGTAAACCCACTGCAATACATCTGTGCCTGAAAACAACACGGTTTAGTCTGTACAAATACTTGATGCGAGGCCAATAGCGATAAGATAACTCCAGCAGAGCGATTTTCAACTTGATAAAACTTGGCAGCGGCCGTGAAACTTGGCGACAGCAAAACTCGGAGTGTATTTGCATCAACTAGTCCGCCAGAATCAGGGCGTTTCAACCCAGCGTACAACTTTTTCGACAAATAAGCCATCCATGGCATCGGCATCGGAACAATCAGGGCAGAGATGGGTCATCCAGTGCCTCGATTGAGAGGCGCAACCCTGACCGTACCTGAAACGAATGATCTCGGTTTCTGCCAGGCGAGCCGGGCAAGCGGTGTTGAGACCGGCTCGTGTGTCCGCTGGTGAGCCACAGACACTGCCAGACATGGCCCACCAACGGTTACACGGGTGGTTGTAAGCTCGGCGGCTAGTGCCGAAGACTAAGCGAGCTCGCGCTTCTCGCGAGCGCTCACTTTTTGGATTTGCCTCATAGTGGTCTCTGCTCTCGAAGCTTTCAGTGTGACAGCAGTTCGCGGAAACACCACCTCTAACCCTAGCCCTGTGCTGCGAGTCAATAAAATCCAATCTTTCAACGCGGGCACACATAGTACATACGTATACCCACTACTATCAAAATGTCTTTAACGCTGCACTATTGTGCAATGGATGACAATGCAATGGCGTCGGGCAAACAGCAAACATCGAAAATGCGAGAATGAGGGTTTCTCGTCGTTACTGCCCAATCCCCTTTGACGGAACGCTGATATCTTAGCGATCTTAGCGATCTTAGCGATCCTGCCAACGGCAAATGCGACATGCTTTTAGAAACGACGGGATCGATCGAGTCCCCCACTTTGCATTGTCGCTTCCCTTTGCCCATCAAGCATGCCGCCTCGGCCCGACCCTGACATCTACGCCACCGTCGTCCGCAGCGACGGCACATCAATGTCGGGACAGGAGCCCGAATCCCCTGGTGATAGGCTCAACATGAACGACGCGCCGAACGCGACGCTCATCGAAGACAAGGGCCAATCCGCACGTGGCAAATTCTACCGACCCGACATTGACGGTCTCCGAACCGTCGCGATCGTACCGGTCTTGCTCTTCCACGCGTACCCCGAGACGTTTACGAGTGGCTTTGTCGGCGTCGACGTCTTCTTTGTCATCTCGGGTTTCCTCATCTCTGGCATCCTCTTCAAGGAAATGACGCGCGGCTCGTTTTCGTACAAGAGCTTTTACAGCCGCCGCATTCGCCGCATCTTCCCGACGCTGCTCGCCGTCCTCTCGGCCACGTGGTGGCTTGGCGCCTTGTACTTGCTGGCCGCGCCGCTCAAGCGCCTCGCTGCCACAATGCTCGCGGGCTCGCTCTTCAGCGCCAACCTCCAAGTGCTCTCGCTGGACATGGGCTACTTTGACGACAGCGTCCAGACCAACCCGCTTCTGCACCTCTGGTCGCTGGGCGTCGAGGAGCAGTTTTACATCTTTTGGCCGTTCGTGGCCAAGGTCGTGGCCTCGCTCGACGTCCGTCGCGCGCTATCGCTGCAAGTTGGTCTCGCCGCGCTGAGCTTTGGCCTCAATCTCGCGTTCCTCGGTTTCCGCGGCTCCAACAAGTATGCGTTCTACATGCCGCTGTGTCGGTTCTGGCAAATGGCTGTCGGGGGACTCGTCGCGTACGTCAGCGCGCCGCCAACGACCTCGATGGATCCGCTGGTCACGCGTGCCTCGGACATGCTGCGCACGCACGCGCGGTCGCTCACGGTTGCGGCCATGTTGCTGCTGACGGTGGCGTTTCTGGCGCTCGACGAGGCGAGTGCGTTCCCGGGGGCCTGGGCTCTCCTGCCGACCATCGCAGCCGCGCTTCTCATCGGTGTCGGTCCCACGACGTCACTTCACACGCACGTCTTGAGCGCATCGCCCATGATCCTTGTCGGCAAGCTCAGCTACGCCTTGTACCTCTGGCATTGGCCGCTTCTCGTGTTTGCCAAGGCGCGGTATCCGAACGCCGACACGCGACCGCTGTACATGGCGCCGGGCGCGATGCTTCTTGTGTCGTTGGTGCTAGCGTGGGTCTCGTACACGTCGATCGAGGCGCCGTTGCGGTCGCATCGATCCAAGAAGGTGGTGGTCGGCTTGGGTCTGGCGATGCTGGCCATGACGCTACTGGCCGCGTGCACGTATGCGATGCCGGCGCGCGTGTCGATGACGCAGATCGAGCTGGACGCCATGTTGGAAGAAGAAAACGCAGCGGTGACGACGTCGCGTGGTGACACAACGTCGAGCGGTGCGGGTGTCAACGCGTCGGCGGAGTGGACGCAAGTGAAGGCGACGACAGTGACACCCGTGAACGTCTCGTCGACGACGGCACCGGCAGTGGTCGCAACGGCTACGACGGCAGGCAAGCCATCGGTACCCGTGAACGCCCCCGTTGTCACCACGACCGTCGTTGCTGCCTCGACAGCAGCTACCAAGAGTCAAAAGAAGACACTCAACTCGAGTCGGGGTCCGCGGTTGTCGCCACCGACGTACCTCAAGATCATGGCCGCCAAAGACGACTGGCATCCCAACGTCGGGTACACACCGATGCCAGCGAGCTACCCCCTCGCACCAACGTCCCTGGACGCCATGGTCCTCAACGATGGTCACTTGGAGAACACACTCGTGGTCATTGGTGACTCGCACGCCGACATGTGCAAGCCGCGGTTTGCGCAGCTCCTCGCCGAGCGCGGCCCGAGCCAGTTTCCGACCATCTTGTACAAGTCGTGGAACGGCACACCGGTGCTGTCATGTAACCCCGACGTGTATACGCCCAACTTGCGCATCGTTCAGACGCTCAAGCCCAAGGCACTCTTGCACGTTGCGCACTGGTACCAGTACTTGCAATGGAAGGGCGACCCCAACGCACCGGCCCACGCGACGCCCCCGTGCTGTGCAGCGGACAAGCTTGACACGTGCAAAACGATACAGAACCACGCCGACGTCCGCGCCATCATCGCTACCTTCCAGCAGGACTTGACGGAGATCACGCGTCTTGGCGTCAAGGTCTTTGTTGCGACCATGTCGCCGGCAGGGGACGCCTTTGACTTCAACCACATGCTCAAAGGCAACAGCGTCGGTGCTGTCGGTCCCGTGAGCCGACGTGCGTTCCGCGCCTCTCAGCAGCCGCTGCTCGGGATGATCGAAGACGCCGTCGTGGCCGCCAACGCGACGCTGATCGATTTTTCTGACAACCAGTGCGATGGCGACGTCTGCGAGGTGCTCGACCCCTACGGAAACCCGATCATGAAGGATCTGCACCACTTTCGACCAGCATATGCACGCAAGTACCTCGGTGTCCTTGACCAAGTCGTGGATGCGGCGATGAGATAATGCTAGTTCTGATGCTACGGGTCCAAATGTTCAAGACACATAAGAAGACTATATATTTACTGCATACTAGTATAGTCGAGCTGCATAACCTTGCTACCACGTTCCATATGAGCAAGGAATTAAGAGATATTCCCTTGCATATGAGGCGCGGTGCACCAACCGTAGAATGCCATTCGTGATTCGCAACGCTTTGCCTATATGACGTGGCAGCGTGCGCAGCGCGATCGCACACGGTTTCACATGTAACAATGACGTGGCGGCACGAGCGACCACGACACGGACGTGGTGTTTCAAGTCGAACAAACAAAGATTGCATGCTTGCACTGCCCATCACTGTAGAAAGCAAGGTGTGCGTCGTTCACGTTTCCGATTTGCGTACAGAGTCCAACGTCGCGTTGTAGTGTCCACTCGGCACGTTCGGTGCTACTACAGTGTACGGCAGCGTGTGCCAAGTAGCAGTGTCGCAGAAATACATAAGATTAGTCACGAAGTTCGGTGGTCGGCTTGGTACATGGCCATTCCCGCGCGGTGCAGACTGCCAATCGGGCGGTGCGCGGGCAAGGCATGCGACGCATCAAACACCAGTTTGTCGGCCAGGACCGCGCGCTCGGCCGTGCGAAACGACTGGCGCGGCAGCGTGAGGCGCGCGACGGTCACCGGTGGCGACGCGACTTCGGACCAGCGCACGCTGGCATCTTCGACGGGCATCGGGTGCTCGGGCGTGTCGCGGCGCGCTTGAATAGCAAAGTCAAACGTCACGTCTTCGCAATGCAGCTGTGCTTGCGCCTGAGTCGTGAGAAAGTCGTCGAGTACGGGCTTGACGCGGGGCACAGGCGCTGTTCGCGTCGGCATCAGCACATACTTGACCGCCTAAATGTACCATTTCGTAAGCAAATCCAATGGTTCTCGTCTCTACTACCATGGCCTCGCCAAACGCGAACGGCAGCGCGCTGTAGAACGGAATGTTGAGCAGCGACGACGGCACAATGCGGGGTTTCGACAGCGCCTTGAGGCGGCGCCACTTGCCTTTGACGACCATCTTGGTCTTGAAGACCGCCGGCGAGTCGCGCAGGCTGTCGCGGAGGAGCTTGGCCGTGCCAAGAGCCACCGATGGGCTGCTCACGAGCAAAAAGTCCTGGCTACGGGGCTCGGTCGACTCGGGAATCTTGTCG